AGACTGCTAAATCAACAAGCAAAAAACAAAATTCATGGTTATTGGGGTGGGAAATGAAACCATGAGGAATCTAGCTGCTAGATTGCGTTGTGATGTTGGTGTAGAATTTCCGCCAAGTAAACAACTTGGGTTACCTTTGTAGACCGGAGAACCAGGAATACACCAGTGAGATGGCACAATTGAGAGGTTCGAGAGACGACTATGCTCTTGGAAAGGGTGCTTCTGTTCCTTGGAAGACCCATCAAAGCCACCCTTTCAAGTATCCCAATCTGTAATCTACCCCATTCTCTAATGCCAATGTCAGTTTTCAATGGACTAGAGAAAATTATGAGAGAAATCCAATGTTTATGGTCACCAAAAATGCACTTAATTAAACAGTCCACCGTATGCAACTCCAAAAAAGCTGGCGTATTAGATTGCGTAAAGATATGAACACTGCTTTGTTCAGCAAGTGGCTTTGGCGCCTCGCGACCCAAGAAAACCACCTGTGGAGGAAGGTTAACCTGCAATAATATGGTTCACATGAGAATGGTTGGCTGCATAAGCCTAATGCCGGCCCACGTGTGTGCAGCATGGAAAGGGGTGCCCTCCCATAGTTGCCGGATCAGGCGCAAGGTCATATCCCGGATCGAGAACAAGACAATGGGATCGAGACATGCATGAAGTTCCGTGGAATAGGGATCGAGATCCGTACACCATGAGGTAAAGGGATCATAATCCCAATATGAAGGGAGCGCAATCCACATTTGTCCAGGATCGAATGATAAAGCACATGGGATCAAGGTCTGTCCAGCTTAGAATCAAGGCTCCCTAAGAGCGCTTAACTTGGGTATTCTAGCTCAGGAACGAAGTATGTTTAACAATTGAATTAAAAAACAAACATGATTCACACAGATTAAGCATTGGTTTCTAAAGCCGAGTTCTCCATGATACAAACAACGGCATAGCTTGCAGGATATTATCAAATATGATGCTGGCTTTATACAGTACATGGGCATAGTTATAACAACTATAATATCTCATGTAAATGAAGAATATAATAGTAAATTACCCTTAACCCATGTGTGTGTGTGTGTGTGTTTGGTTTGGGGAGGGAGAGGGGGAGAGGGGGTTGCAAGTAGAATGGGCGCATGACCTGTTTTGTTCCCTTCTCTGGAATGTTAAACTGTACAGACAACAGTTGACTAGAGTAGGACATTCTTCGTATTCACAATATCTCTTCATCTTCTTCTTCATTCTGATACCATTTGTAGTTATCACAAATGATTGGCACAGAGCCTTTTGACATGTTGTACTAGTTTAGAGGATCCATGGTCTTAACGGGAAGTAAGAGTCTCTCAGCAGAAATATGCATGTCATGTATTTTTTATAATTTTATTCCATCCTATTTACAGAGCAAATCTCAGAGACTCATTGTAACAGACCCTACTGGAAAACTTAATGTTCACCTTTCTGAACTAGATAGAGTGATACATTTGAGCCAAAAATTATTTTAGGGGTCACCTTCTGCCACGTTCGTAACATGCAAACCAGGCAGCAGATGTTCCGGCACAAGAGGAGGCTGCCAGCTGCCCCAATGGTTCACATCATGCATCTTGATCCCTCTCTCTCACACAACCCTCTTCGTATGCTCTTTCCCCAACCCCCCTCTCTACCTTTTCTGCTGTCCTCTCTCTCCATATCTTATACCATATATTCTATCACGCTACACTACATTTCGCTCGCTCTCTCTGACCACTCTCTCTCTCTCT